AGAAGTATACCACACAACATGAATCAAACATGTACTTCATTTATTTACATTAAATATCAAAAGTACATCAAAACTGATTGAAGCTAAGGGCATACAAAAACTGTCCAACAGTGGCCACCCTTACGATCTATACTAGGACTGTCTAATTCAGTCCTTCCACCTAGATCTGTTTCACACAGATCTCTCTTTGCAATCGAATGGCTTCTACCAGCTGCAGGGTATCTAGTAGGGCATCAGCTCCCCTTGGGCCCTGCAACCAAGGGAAACCCTAGATACAGACCTTGCTGTGTTCTACGGTCAGCCCTAGGGTTTCTTCACAGCGGCCAAGATAGGAGAGAGAGAGGAAAAAAAAAAGGAATAGAGAAGAGGGGAAAAGAGGCGAAGAAGAAGAAGAAGAAGAAGAAGAAGAAGAAGATTTTAGGCCCAATAACTAAGAACTTAAGACACAAATATGACTAACATAAACACTAAACCAGCCGAACCAACATATCTGTTAAGTATTGTTTTATGAAAAGCAAATTATTATTCAGAATAGTTTGGTATCTATTCAATTCACAAGATTTCTAGAATTTTTCCTATTCACTGCCAATGTTGTTGGAACTTCGGAAGCTTCCTTCATCCTGTTCTCCATGATCCAACAATGGTTTGATATCGTCTTTGAGGAGATGGGGTTAATTTTTTGGTGGATTACCCTCTTTGCTGTTTTCTAAGGTTTATGAAATGAAAGGAATAGGAGGATCTTTGAGGCAACAATAAGATGTTTCCAAGGATTATATGGTTTATTGCTCCCATACATGTATTAGGCACTGCCGCATGGTTCTAAAAGAGCCAAAAAAATGCAGACTTGACATAAAATTGGATAGTGATTGCAAAACATGGATGTGATATATTTTGATACTTTGGTTGTCTGGTTGTTTGTATTCAATATTTCTATTATATCCTTGGGTGGATCCTTGTTTTTTTTTTGTAATGCTTTAAAAATTTTTCCAATTAATTTGTTACTCTCGCTATTGTGATTAGTTGGCAAATTTAGGCCAGTTATAAACATTAAGGAGAGTAACATAGAAAACAAAAGCATTTGGGCTTTTGAAAACTGTGGTCAAATTTCAATATCAATGTACTTTTCACCATGTGGAGATTAGGAATTTTTGGGGATATTTTGCTTATTTTGATAAGAATTATAGAAAAACTAAATAAATCAGGGAAATTTACTAAGAGCATAGAATTTGTTGATAAAACTTCATGGATCGTTAGAGGAAGTACAGTTGTAAATTGAGACTCAAAAAACTATAATAAAATAATTGTATATATTGAATAATAGAAGATTAAGAAATCTGTATATGTATTTCTCTTGATCTCCCTTTTAGCTCCCTTTTAGTCTTCCAACTATCCTCTCTTCTACACATATGCCATTCGCTTGCCATCTTGACTTCCAACTATCCTCTGTTGTAGTTGTGTATCTTTTTTGAGGCTGCTCGTTGAATGTTGTGCTACCTGAAGTCTTCATGTGGTAGGGGTATTTTATTTTCCAACCATGGAAACCTTTGTATTGAGGCATACATATATTATTGGGCTGGATCTGTCATTGACTAGAGTTCAACTCAAAATTATCGTCTCTTTGTGGGAGGAAATTTAGTCACATGGCACAGCAAGAAACAGTCCCATGGGTGCTAGGTCTAGTGTGGATACTGAATTTAGATATATGGCATATGGAATTTGTGAAGCATTGTTGCTTAAGACACTATTGGAGTGCTAGGCTTTGTTGCTAAAGGACCTATATAAAAAAGACTGCTATCAGTATAGCACATAATCCAGCCCTCAAGAGGAAGGGGAGGATGACAAAGACATACTGGACGTCACTGATGTTGAGGGAGGAGTTCAGGAAAGAGTTGAAAAGGATGATTGGTGAGAGAAAAAGACAGTAGTTGAAGAAGAGAATGGAAGAAAGGCGACTAAGGTTTTACTGAAGAGGGATGAAAATAGAGCAGAAGATGAGGGGGAAATCAATCACGGAGATGAGGTGATTGGTTCTATACGAGTAAAGGAAATGAGAGCTGTGGAAGAATTAGTGGGGAAGGGAGCAGGAGAAGTGGAAAATGACTAAATTGAGAAGAAAAGAGGGAAGAAAGATTAGGGATTGAGGAAAAGGGAAGGGAGGAGGAAGGAGATAAGATTGGAGATGGAGTTTGAATTTACAGAAGGAAGAAGTATAGAACTTTACCCTTAGAAGAATGTAGAGAAGGAAATTCAGGGAAAAGCTGGAGGGGAGTCTGGAAGAGGCCGTGAAAACACTTAATACAGTTAGAAGATTCAGAGCTCAAAAGAACAGAAAAAGTCAGCAGCAAGTTCCAGTTTCAAAAGTCTTTGCACGGATAAAAGGAGGCTTATATGGTATTGGGCCTAATAAGCTCATCAAAAAACACAAAATATCAGAGAAAAGATAACTAGAAGATTGTTCTCAAAAAGCTGATAAGAAGAGTTTTTGAGTGGGAGTTTTGGTTGGGAGTTGGAAGTAGAGATGGGTTTCCGGCGGTGTCGATATTGGTTTGTAGGGTTTGGGTTTTGCCTAGTGTTGCAGTGTGTTTTTTTCTTTTAGCTGGGCCGAAAGGATTATTCTATGTTTGGGGTGGTTTCTTTTTTGGAGATTGGGGTTTCTTTGCTTGGTTCTCTGGGTTTTGCTTCCTCTCAGGTGATTGCTTATCACCTTCCTTGTATTTGCTTTTTGATTTAATAAAATTTATTTTATTTTATCTTCAAAAAAATTATCAAACAAACACATTAAGGTGGATTGTCATTTTATACAGGAAAAGCTTCTCACAGGATAGATCTGTAAACCATATTTTGCTATCCAATTATAGCTAGCAGATATTCTTACCAAAGAAGTGAGCAAGATCTGTCTGCATAAAATCATTACCAAGTTGGACGTGATTGATATCTTTGCACCAACTGATGGGGAATGTTGAATTAAAATTTTATGGGTATTTGGTTTTCATGTATCCAATGCTGATCTGTCCTTATATTGCTTGAAAATGTCTTTTCCCTCATTTATTTTAACTTAATAAAATATTGAGAGAAAGGCCATACGAGTCAATCAATCAACCTACATATCCATTTCTCTTCTTTTCTCTTACAATTCCTTTGTTCCTCTCTTCTCAACTTTCTCACATCACATACACACAAATCCACCTAAAATAATGCAACTCTTTAGTAATGGCTATTACAAAAAATTATCAGAGCCAAAAGGTGCAAGAAATGGGCTGGAAAAAGGAGACTACTTGAAGGCCAGATTCCAAATACATGCTTTTGAGGACACTGAAGGCTCAAATTGATATGTATATACCCTATTTGATGGATTCATCAAAGAGTTTTAGAGTACTGGTTTTGACATCTCCAATTTGAGGGTTGATTCTTGAACTTGACTTTGTTTCTTTCCATAATTCCTACATATAGGGAAGCTTGTAAAATTGTTGTTCTTTTTAAGTTTCTTATCTCTACTTATTAAAACTCTTTACCTTGATTCAGCAATGTAAATAGGTATTCAAATAGTTCTCCATTTTTCTCTGCCAGTTTATAATCTATTAGGAAACATTCTGTGTTACATTCTTTTTCAATTTCCTCTTTGTTCATTTAATGTTATAATTAGGATACATTCTGTGTTGACCCAGGGGCAATACACAATCTCTTGAGGACTGTTTTTGGGAAGCTTGGGCATGCCTTTGTTCCTCATCAACACACTTAAAAGTATGATATCGTCTCATGAACTTAGCATTTTGTTTGCTGAAGTCAATCTTCATGGAAACTTCTGTTGCTTTTGCCTTGCTAAATTAGCAAATAAGACAAGGATAGAGCTGACAGTTCCAGACTGGCCTCTTGTTGCATGACAGCAAAGAACACGTGTTGAACGTGTTATTGGTTTTGTTCTTGCTATATGGGGCATACTATTCTATTCCCGTTTGTTGAGCACAATGACAGAACAATTCAGGGTAGGTTCTTTTACTTGAAGCATTTGTTGAAGCAAGAGAAAGTAAAAATGCTAACTTATTGTAAAATAGCATCCTAATTACTAGCACCTGGACAGAATAACATGCAAAAAATCAGAGAAGGAGCTCAAATGCAAGTCATGGAGAGTGATCATATTATTATTTGTGGAGTAAGCAGCCATCTGAATTTTATACTAAAGCAGCTGAACAAGTATCATGAGTTTGCAGTCCGCCTGGGTACTGCTACAGCTAGGTAATTGTTTCTTAAATAGAAATTACAAAGTCTATATTAGTACAGTAAATTCAGTTTAGACTTTTGAGGTACTAATTATTTTGAATTACTTTCATGTGTCAATTAAAGGAGGCAAAGAATTCTGCTTATGTCTGATCTTCCAAGGAAGCAGATGGACAAGCTTGCAGACAATATTGCCAAAGATCTTAATCACATTGATGTCCTTACAAAGAGGTAAAGCATACTTTTGGTTGATCTATTTTCCCTTCTTGTGTGGATACCTGATTAGACAAAAATTTCTTTCCTTTCTTTGCTCTTAGTAGAAATCTGCAGAATTAAAAAATATGAAAGAGAAGTAGTTTCTTGAAGAGAGAAGGAGAAGAAGAGAAGAAGAGAAGTTGAAAAGAAAAGAGAGCAGTAATCTGGCTGCCCCCTTCACTTATTATTTATACTAAAAACAATAGAACAGTACAAAGACAACTATGCCCTTAAAGGGCGGCAAAACATAAAACAAAATATATAACATTGAAAAACATAATAAAATTTGGACTCACATAACTATTGTGGTCCCCACCTCCTATCTAACAACTAACATAAAACATCTACTCAGAAAA